ACAGTTGAGTCTCAGTACAGTCTCAGTAGTCACAGTAGAGTCACAGTTGACTCTCAGTAGTCTCAGTAGAGTCTCAGTAGGGTCACAGTAGAGTCACAGTTGAGTCTCAGTAGAGTCACAGTTGAGTCTCAGTAGTCTCAGTAGAGTCACATTAGAGTCACTGTTGAGTCACAGTAATCTCAGGTCGTTTTCACACCAGATAGTCCGGTAGACTCGGTTCAGTTCTGGACCAATATTCATGACTTTTTATTTACATTGAGCTGTGGCGTTTGCATTTACACTGCACTGTGCAGTCGCGTCAACCTGTTGAACCAACCTATTCCCCCCGCTCGCCTGTGGGGGCACTGCACCAAGAACTACTGAAAGAAACGACACAAAAACCTCTGAAGAAACGTCTTCTTCTTCTCCTGGAAATAAAAATAAAAACGAAGTGGCATCAAGTTTTAGCAGTTTTAAGAGTTATATTTTGTCATTTTTCAAAATGGACTTAGCATGAGCAGAAGATGACAGAAGACCATGGAGAATATTGTTTTTCCACACAAGGTAGCTGACAGCTCCATATAAGGTAAGAGTGTAGTGGACTAAGCCTACGTCGAAACCCAGTCTAAGGTCAAAACTCTTGACCTTTAGAACCTTGTGGGACAGAAGCTGTCATTTCATGTATTTGACTCCATAAATACAGGTTCACCCATCCTGAGACTTTCTTTCTTGAAGATTCAAGTGAAAAGAACACTCTCTTTTTATTATCATTACTATCTTACAAATGTTGATAATCAAAGTGTCTTAGTTCAAACCATTTTAGATGTTGCAGTGAACTAATCAATTTTATTAACTGAGTAATGATTTTATTCTCATGTTAAAAGCTGTGCAGAGTTTATGCATTTTTCTGATTTCTGCTTTTGAATGAGCAAGTGTGTGCGTTTACAAGGTTACAGTCAAACGAAAAACAAGTTGTTATGTTAAAACTGTCATGTTTTAGAATCCTCTCAGACGTAAATAGAGATGTTTTGCACCTGTTTCTTAAGGCACGCCAAAACAGAACCCTCTCGGTCTGTGAGAACATTTCTGAGCTGTCTCATAACAATTCTCGCTGTCTCTAACCTCTTACGTCACAAAAACACACCCCTTCTGGTCGTTTCTGACCAATGAAAAATCCCAAAAGCGAACCGGGAAAGAGTCTTTAAAAGGTCAGTACTTCCTGGTCTACACGGACTCTCAGACACGAACTCACAGGGACACGGAGAGACACACAGGTACTCAGAGTTGGAGAGTTGTCAGACTTCTAGAGTTCTGGAGTTCTGATGGAGTGCTGTTGGAGTTCCTGACATGACAACGAAGCTCTTCCGAGTTCCATGGGATTATAACATTTTCCACTGAGGTGAGCTGTGGCTGACAGAACCTCGCAGCTACTCCGGACGAGTAACAGCATCCTACGGAGACGCTGAAAGGGTGCGTTAAACGGAATCTCGCCTGAGACATCTCCAGGTAAAAGAGTCGTTTTCACCACCTAAGTGTACTGTGAGGAAAGCTGAAGAAAGCCCGGAGAGTGCCGTTCTGTTCAACACTCTACCTCAAACACCATCTTTCTCCCCTTTAAACTTCATCTTTCATCTTAAACTTTTCTATCAAGTAGAAATTCTCCCAGATATTTAGAAATGTCTGTGTAAAGTGCTTACCCACATTCATGTGGGTAAAAGATCATAGTTGTACAGTTATAAATGTCTGTTGGTGCAGCAACGGAGAAATCATGGCCGTATGATTTTTCCTGATTGATTGCTTTGTTGTTATTTTCATAATTTGCCAAATTAATGTAAATGTTTGATGTTAAATTTGATTCTGTAAATAAATGACCGCATTCATTTTGATGGGTCAAATTTAAATGACGTCTCACGTTTGCATTTCCTTAAATTCAATGCACGTTTTATTCAGTCCAGAAAAATGAGGAACTCGCGTTAAATGATGAATATATTACAGCATCTGTTCATCTACAATTGGTGGCCCGTCACGTGCTCATAAATGGACTGTAACTAATGTGCTAATTGATTTTTATGTTGGCATGTGTTGTAAAATAACAGTTGAACCGTGCGTCTTTACGCAGCCGGAGCTGCGCGCTTGGAGCTGCACCGCCTGAAGCGAAATGCTGCATGTTTTTAAGCGTGTTGGTCTGTGATGCTCAGAAAGCTCACAGAGAAGCTGAAATTGAGTCACAAGTCTTTATAAAGCTGAATTGTACGTCTGTATGTGTAACTTAAGCTGGCTTTGAGCTGTGGAAACGCTTCATTCTGTTTAAACTGTGTTCCGGACGCTTCTGGTCCGCTTCGGTTCTGTGGTTCCGACTCGGTTCTGGAGCTTCGAACGAGTTGTTTTAAATAGCTAGAAAGACGTTTTGTCACGGAGCGCCGTTCTCTGTGCAGCTCAGGGGGTTGTTTCGTTACAATTTTTAACAGAAAAAGTGCATTTTGATGGTTTAA